ACCTTTCCTCTTCAATTTCGCCATCGAAGATGTTCTCCAAAGAGCACTGGAAGGTGTCCAGGACTGCGGTGTTGAGCTTCTCCCTGGAGACAGACTCACGGACTTGGACTATGCCGATGATATCGCCTTGCTGGGGGACGACCCACAATCCGTCCAGAACGCTCTGGACCGCTTGGCGATGGAGGCGTCTAAGTACGGCCTGTGCTTCACTCCGGGAAAATGTAAAACGCTGCTCCAGGATTGGCAGGTGCCTGAAGCCGCGCTCACCATTGCTGGACATGTTCTGGAGCAAGTCCCTTGCTTCACTTACCTAGGGAGTTGCATCACGGCTGGTGGCGGTGTTGGAGATGAAGTCTCACAACGGATTGCAAAGGCCTGCCTTGCATTCATCAAACTGAGACATCTATGGCGTCGTCGTGATATCACTCTCAAGCTCAAGGGCAGGGTGTACAATGCTTCCGTCCGTGCAGTACTCTTGTACGGCTGTGAGACTTGGCCTATTCGCTCGGAAGATATGAAGCGGCTATCAGTCTTTGATAATCGCTGTCTACGAAGGATTGCTAGGGTGTGGTGGCAACACCACGTAAGCAACGCAGAGGTGAGAGACCGCGTGCTTGGGGCGAATAGTGCCAGTCTTCAAGACGTTATTCTCCGACATCGCATGCGCTGGCTCGGGCATGTTCTGCGCATGCCAGCCCATCGCCTTCCACGTCGAGCGCTATTTGCACTCCCAGGGAGCGATTGGAAAAAGTGCCGCGGTGGACAGCCGATGACATGGAGAAGGAGTATGAGGAAGGCGACCTCAAGTTTGGCAGCAGTCGGACCAGTCCGCCTTCCAGGTTGGGGACCACGAGATGCTGAATTGCAGTGGTTGGAAACATTGGACGTCATGGCCCGCAAAAGACATCAGTGGCGGCAATGTTGTTCCGCAATTTCACCATCCCTTTGATACACAAAAACTCACGAAACAAAACAAAAAATACAAAATGGCGTGTGTAAAACCAAAAAAAAATTCGTTTCCTATATTTTTTTAATCGCATTAGTGTCCCCATCTTCTTCACCTTTTTCTTCTGCCATGGTTCTGATGGCACAATGTCTGTTAACAGACTGTGAATATATATATATATATATATATATATATATATATATATATATATATATCTTCCGCATCTGTACCGATTTCTCCACCGGTCTCAACGCAGCACTAGAGCCAAATTTCTACCCGCTACCGATCCCAGCCGATCTCTTCACGATACTCAGCGGTGACACCTGTTTCGTTAAAATCGACCTGGCAGACGCTTACCTGCAGATCGAGGGTGCCCCTGAGTCACAAGCCCTCCTGACGATCAATACGCATCATGGTCTTCACCAGTACACCAGGCTCCCATTTGGTGTCAAGACCGCTCCAGCCATTTTCCAACAGACGATTGACGCTATGATCTCTGGTATTCCGGATACGGCCGCGTACCTGGACGAGCTACTCATTGTTGGTCGCACCCCCGAAGAGCTTCGAGAGCGCCCGGCTGCAGTCCTTCAACGAGTCCAGGAGTACAGTTTCTGCCTGAAACCTGATAAATACCCATTCTTCCTTTCGTCGATCAAATACCTTGGTTTTGTTTTCGATGCCCATGGTCGTCATTCTGATCCTGAGCACGTCAGTGCCATCAAGCAGATGTCAGCTCCAGCGGATGTGTCACAACTGCGGTCCTTCCTGGGTCTTATCAGCTACTACAGCGCCTTCCTGCCATCGCTACACGATGTTCGAGCCCTGCTTAATCGGTTGTTGCAGAAGGACGTTCCTTGGCACTGGTTCCCCGCGTGCGGAAAAGCTTTCGTTCGCCTGCAGGCCATGCTAAGTTCTGACCTGCTATTGACCCATTACGACCCAGCCTTACCGATTTTGGTCGCTGCTGATGCTTTTGCCTACGGGATCGGAGCAGTTCTCTCCCATCGATTCCCAGGTGTTTCCGAGAAAGCTGTTATGCACGTCTCCCGCACCCTGACGCCTGCGGAGAAGAACTATGGTCAGATCGAGAAGGAAGCCATTGCCATTGTCCTTGCCGCCACCAATTTCCACAAGATGCTGTATGACCGACATGTCACGCTAATGACCGATCACAAGCCCCTACTTTCAACTTTCGGTTCAAAGGACATTTCGGCATACTCGGCTAGCCGACTTCAGCTTTGGGTGGTCATCCTTCTTGGTTACGACTTCGAAAGCCGTGACTGCCGTACTCAGGATTTTGGTCAAGCTGACGATCTCTTCACCTCTTTTCCAAACATGCCGAAGTAGAAAACACAGTGATGCCACCGTAACCGTCGAGGACGACGTTCGTCATCAACTAACGAACTCTATTCGAAGTCTCCCTATCACTGCCGCCGAAATATGTCGTGCAACTGCTCAAAACTCTGTCTTGCAGAAAGTCGTTACTTACGTTCAGACGTGCTGGCCAAACACCACCTTGTTTGGTGAACTCAAACAACTGCACCAACGCCGCGACTCCCGTTGCGTGGTCGATTCCTGTCTCATGACTGCAGATCGAGTTGTCGTTCCTTCATGCCTTCGCCAAGCTTTACTCCGCCAGCTCCATTCCGCTCACCCCGGTATGAACAGAATATAGGCGATTGCCCGCAGTTTAGTGTGCTGGCCTGGCATTGACAGCGATATTCAACATTTGGTCCGCCGCTGCTCAAGGCGTCAACAAGGCTCAAAGATTCCATCACACCAATCACCTGTTCCTTGGCATCCGCCAGAAAATCTGTGGTCTCGAGTGCACATCAATTACGCTGGTCCCATTGATGGCATTTCCTATCTGATCGTGCTCGACGCCTATTCCAAATGGCCAGGAGTGGTCGCCGTCAACCCACCAGCTGCATCCGCCACTCAGGGTTGTCTCCAACGAAACTTTAGTGAACATGGTCTACCTGAGGTTTTGGTGTCCGACAATGGTACCCAGTTTACCTCTTACATTTTCTAAGACTTTTGTCGCCGACACTGCATTCAACACCTCCACTCGCCACCTTACCATCCCCAGTCCAATGGTCAAGCGGAGGGATTTGTCGACACTTTCAAGCTAGAGCTTTTGAAGTCTCGCTGGAAGGGGACCCGTGGTTGAGTGTCTTCAAGTCTTCCTGCTCTTGTACTGGTCCACATCGAACCTAGCTAAACCAGGATGCCAGTCACTAGCTGCAGCATTGATGGACCGCAAGCTACGCACCACCAACGAAGCGCTAATTTCGACTGAGGAGCCACCTACTCACTCTGGTGCCTGAATCAAGCACAAAGAATACGTCGTTCGAGCCCCGGTCTTCGCTCGCGATTACCGAGCAGGTCTTCTACGCTGCATCAAAGCAGCAATGACGGCCAGGCGAAGTGACATGCTACATGATGTCTCCGTGGGCGATGAAACCTGGGTTCGCCATCGTAAGTAACTTCGACCGCGCCACGGAGAAACCTCCACGCCAGCCAGCCATCCTGTGCGCCTGCCGCTTCACATCCTGCTTGATACCTTTGGATTGGCTACACAACGGGAGACCATGGTCGAAGCCGCACAATCGCCGCCGCGTCTAGAGAACCCGCTTTGCCGACAAACAGGAAGAATCCGGAGGTCGTTGAATTCGCTCCAGGTTAATCCTCATCAGAAGCGGTACGCTCTCTTTTCAAAGGGAAGGGTTGCGCGCACATCAAATATTCCCGCATAAACGCGCCAGAAACCCCGGCAGAATGGCTGGGGAGAGAGAGGTTCAGTTCCTCTCCACAACGCAGCAGCGCTCAACCACTCCGAGACGCTGCCCAACTGCGCACCTTTTGACAATGGTCATTTGCAAAGTACCACCTCTTTGTGGTGACCGTTTTCTCTAACTTAATAACCCATAGCCTTGGCTGTGATTCGCCCTTCGTTGGTCGTAAAAGAGCCTACAGAGGATCGCCTGTCTTTCTTCCCTCTTCGCCTTACTTGGGAGTCGATCGGGTCACGTGATTTTGTGTGCGTCGATAGCTGGCCAGCGTTCGCGTCTAAGTCACTAGCGCGTGTCAATCGTAACCCCCTCTCGTGTGCGTCCGTTCCGAAGGCTCAGCATCTACCTGAATACGTGCGGCCAGGATCGTTGTCATGTTCGCTCAATTTCGGTCTCACCAGCTAAGCTATCGTCATCAGGTCAGCGCAACTCCGTTCGATTGGCCAGCGTTACAAGCAGTTACCATAGGCGTACTCCAACCGTGTCAGCGACAATCTTCTCAGGCATCTACGCAGTCATATCAAGATTCGTCCCTTGAATTATAGCAGAAGCATTACTGCTATCGTGTGGTATCAGCGTGTCGGAAATGAAGATGTGCACCTGCGTGTTCTAGGCGGTACTGATCTAGCCTGTTCCATACAACAACAAATAACATTGAAAGTGGTCTTGACCTGGACACGTGTTAAGTATGCTCGGTCACCGGTTGCATAGGAGGGCTTTGTTTCTTTTGTAGGCTGTAGGATGATGCAGTGCTAACGAGGCGAATAGTTGGTTTGGTATTCAGAAACTAATTTACTGGCCAAGTAACGGGGTATTGTTTTTTCGTCTCGGTTTTCAGGTTAGAGCACACGTGACTCACCGTGTGCTTGGCTCGAGACGGCATCAGTGGCGCGACTGCTGTCGTCTCCTAGTCTGACTGCCTGTTTGAAGTGTGTTTGGTGCTCAGGTTGCCTGCGGGTAATGGCTGATTAGGTTGCGGGTTAGTGAAAGTTAGCAGGAAGTTGTCTCGTTGATGCCACATTATCCTTGCACGGTGGCCAAATGTTTGTGACAGTATGATGTTGACAAGGCATATGCGCCTCTACCCTGAATGTTTGTTTAGAGTACTTAGATTCCATGCTATATCACTATTCTTCACCTCTGATTGGGATTCATCTGATTGGTGCAACTGACTACGCCTTTATATTTGTGCAAGTTCAAAGAGATGGGTTGCTCTATATTTGGCACGTTTTTTTCGTACCTTTCACCTACAACAGGGTATAATGTTCTTGGGCTCACTGCCAAGATTACGAGAATTGAAAATCGCAGATTGTGTCAATTTGACTAACGTGGGTTTGGAGAAGTTTGCCAAACGAGCGACTCAGTTAGAATGCATGAATATTTCATGCTGTCACGTAAGTCCGAATCTTGATAAAACTAGGAAATCTCCAGAAGATAACTGATGCCGGACTGAAAGCACTCGTGCGTAACTGTCGGCTTTTGCAATGGCTGGAACTAGCAGGCTGCTACGAGGTAAGTACAAGGTAAACTATGCACTTGATTTTCACTTTTTGATGAATACGAAGATATCCCGTGCCTGGATAACGTTGATTTGCCCAGCTCACCCAAACGCTGTCTGCTTATTGGTTATTCCCTCATCAGCCAATCAGTAACTTCATCTTTTCCCATCACGTCAGTGATTCACGTAACTTGCATTGATCGGATAAACTGTGCCTCTTGCTGTTTTTGCTTGCTTCCGTTACTATGCAGTGGAAGGATGACGTAAAAATTTTCACCATTTCATCATATTGTAGCTAACGGACAAGGCGGTGCACGAACTGGCCAATTCGTGTCCGTATTTGCAACGGTTGGACTTGAGCGCCTGTGTCAATGTTACGTATGTTTCAAGCTCGATGTTTTCTTTGCTGTTAATGACATTTTCGTGAAAGCATCCCACCATTTACCCGTTTGAAATGTTTATAAAAATAACGAGGTTGCTGCACAGCCCAGTGAAATTGGTCCGATCACACTGCACATAACCTTTCATATGGTCTGTACAGACAGATTCTCAAACCTGTAAATGCGTGCTTCTTCTTTGGCAACAGTCAGTTTTGTCTAATTCTGCAACGATGCAAGAAACAAACCTATCTCTTCTAGCTGAGCAGCCCCCAACGTTGCCTATAAGTACTTTGTCAGCCAGTTCACCGGCTTAGTGGCAAATACGTCAGAAGCCAAAATCTTTCGCGCAAAACAAACGAAGTTCTTCTTGAGTACCTGGATTCAAAATACATGACCATAAGGGATTCAGCCTTGTGCGTCTACAATGCCTACCCTGGTGTGCAGCCCTGGGATACCCATATAAAACAACGAAAACACCGCGTTGAGTTGGCCCGTGAAGACAAAACTCGTGTCAACAAGACTGAGGCAAAACTAATTATTAAGCGTAAAATGCTGTACAGGCACCTCAACAACTGCGCTGCGCATAGGTGCATCAGCTGGTCCGGCACTAACTACGCAGGAGGCGGCCAACGTGATTTGGAAGCACTTAAGTCACACTTTCCAGAATTAATCATCAGCTTAGTCACATTTAATTCTGCTCCCACTGCCCTCAGCTTTTCGTTACGCATCGTATACGGCAGTAAAATTGATTGAAAAGATTATTGTCCTTGCGCATACACACCTATCCCCGGGGGTGGACAACATAAAACCAAAAGCATTAAAGGATCCGCCTTGAACCCCACCAAGCCGTTAGCTTTGTTCTTTCAACGAAACCTTGAGGAATTGCTGGTTCGGGCCATGTGGAAACCTGTAATAATCAATCCCATGGTTGTACTCTTATGGATTGAACAAATACCGCGCAAGTAACGAATATTTATAAATAAGAGTAGCTAAAGGACTGTGAACATGATCAGTTAATGAGGAACTCAGAAGTTATAGAAATCGGTTTATCACAGTAAACACATACATAGTATTTGCACAGCTAGAATCACCTCGGCCAGTGTCACGTGTGTACAGAAGTTTCACGTACTCGGTAGCAATCCCACACGCAGTCAGTCAGGCTGGTGAGGACTCAAGGAGTAATATAGTACAGTTTGACAAAGTGACCTGGATGTTGGTCAAGGGAGGCAGTGTATAGCCAGACAGTCACATGGAAGCTCCGCGATCAAGTGACACAGATGGGTCGTTGCTAGCTTGGGTACGCGCATACGCGCCTCCGGAACTCGGTTGTTTACTCAGGCACATAAAATTTCCCACTTATTTACAGCAAGGTTGTTCTTGTGGAGCCCTCGAACTACCGTCCCGTCGTTCTGCTCCCAAGTAATGGAACGCATAAGCACACAGATGCTCATGATATACCTAGAGAACAATCATATCATAGTTTCTCATGACATAAATTCCGCCGAAGTCGGTCCTACACGACAAACTTGCTGACGGCCCGAGGAAGCTATGCAGAATCGGTCCATCCCAGACAAGGAGTCCAGGTCGTCTACCTGGACTTCTCTGAAGCGTTCGATCGCATGGACCTCCTCATTCTTCCTCACGAACTTCAAAGCTATGGAATCAGCAACCTATAATGGAGTGGGAGGTAAATTTTTGATTCAACGTCAGCTGAATGTGAGTTCGCGGCTGCATTCCGACCCGAATGAAGTCCAGTGCAATGTGGCCCAATGATCGGTGCTAGGACCATGTTTATTCCCAGCCTTCATCAACGACCTTGCCAGTGCGCTCCGATCGCATTTCTTATCATTTGCAGACGATGTCAAGATCCAGCATAACACTCAGATAGCGGAATATCATGTGGAAGTGAGGAAAGACCCCGACAGGGTTTATATGTGGTCATTCGAAAATTTGCTTTTGTCAAACTTGGCAGGATGCAAAGTTGTGGTTATACATCATCATCGTACCCATATCTACTTAGAGACCAGCATTTGCCACATCCTTCCCAGAAAACTGGCCTATTGATAACCGTGCCGAATGACCTTGGCTACTCCAAACAGACTAAAAAGACAACGAAATGAAGAACGACGGTAAAATGGCTCATCTTGTAAACGTCCTAGGCAACATATCTCTATTTTCGAGTTCTTTCATTTGTACATGTTATAAATCTCGACAGGTACTTTTGCAAGTACAGTGAAGCCATCAACACTATTTGTAGATGGCTATCAGTGTAACCTGATGTTCCATTAGTGTCAAATGAGTAGGACCGGAATGAGATACACATAGATATCAGCTAGATATTTATGGTTTTCATCAGTTACTTCATGATAGGGAAAATTTGAATCCGTGTAACTCAGCATAATAGGTGGCACTAAGAATATAGTCAACACTTACGGCGGCCAAGCGTACCATGCGGAGTTCCTACAACCTCAGCCCAGATGATAGTGAGTTCTTGATGCCGAACTCATTTGCCGGGGTTCGACTGCTGTTGCCCGAGCTTCAACACAGGCTGACTTAGGCACTATCTTCTTCTCAACAGAGACGCGTCACTCAGCTACCTGCAACGTGGATGCAGAAGAATGCAGCACTTAACGCTGCGATATTGCAAGTCCATAAAAAAGTACGTATTTTAATCTAATATGACTATGTTATATTTGTTTTTTGAATTTATATAGATTTGAATAGTGGACTCTAAGGTATCGTAATTGGGAAGAGTAGTTTGCCATAACGCGGTGTGTGGATTGATCAATTGAAACCGCAGCAAGCGATGCGTTCATCTATGACTCGTAATAAGTCGGTCGCACTTGAGTAAACTCATCTGCGAACTCCGTGAGTACTTTGAATTTAAATGACCTCTTAAGGACTTAACAGATTTTGGTGGTAAGGCTCAGCCAACATATCACGTAAGTACTTCAGGGATATAGTACTGGTCAGATTGCTGCATTGCTTTAGAAAGTGAGAGCCATCACAATTGCCTTTCGTTCGGAAGTGCTGTGTGCCAAGTCTTTCGGACCTGCTTTAGTCCTATGTTGTTATGCATATAACAAGTGTATAGATGTACAATCAAACTTGTATATTTACCGACAGGCGGTATAGGACGTGGGGGAGCGTGATATTCTAACCAGAATATGCATTCACATTATACTGGGTTTGGCGCAATACTAAAATCCAAAACGATATTTTCGTTCAGATTTTATTCCTGTCGGTTTAGTAACAAAAGCTGGCACGTCCAAAACTGCTGAACAAATTAGTACACAAATACAACCCCTTTGGTAACTCACCGATAACGTATCTCCAATGTATTACACCAACTTTTGCTTCTATTCGTTTCGTCCTGTCGAAATGCTCTGTTTACGAGTAAGGAAAAACTGAAAAAGCAAACGGATTAACAAATGTGGGACGGCTAGCCGAGTCAAACGTCTAACTTCCGTATCGAAATAGGAGATAAGAAGACTAACTAGTTAGTACACTGAAACGGTGTCAGACAGTCGCAGTTGCCCTAAACTGAGAAGGATTCTAAAACAACTCCGCGGCCAAAGTACCTGCGGTAAAATTTGAGTTGTGTATATGGGCAAACGTTATGCTAATCCAAGCTCAGCCTTGTTACTACATGCCTTCTAGCTGCCTTAAATCATCAGTTCATATGATACTGTCAAAAGATTGAGATCAACTGAAGTTTTATCCGGACACTATAGCACTAGTTGAGCTACGTGTTAAGAGTAATTCCTCCTAAGCAATGGATCAATGAACCCATATCATATCAACATTCAATCTAAGCCAGAAACCCATTGGAATAATCAAATAGGTCGATCAACAGAAAGTTCTCTGACAGTCTACCACTGCTATTGGTGACTAAGTAATAAAAAAGAACAGAGTATGTTCAATAAGGTCCCCAGGAACATATAAATAACCGCAATCTAGGCGTGTATTTATTTCGTGGTTTGCAATCACTAAATAATGACCGGAGCATTGCTTTCTTGATCAGCCAATGGGGGTAGTCCGGTTCAAAACAGTCAATTAAAGCACCCTTGAGTATCATAACACTAAGAGTGTTGAGTGACTCACATAGCCGCAAACCGGTACTTTAAACTAGTATCTCACCACTGATGTCATGCCTAACGTTTTGAAGTCCATTGCCGTATCGTAACTTGTGCAGTCCGCAGAGACTACATAGAATAGGAAAATCCGAATATGTACCGCATCTTCGGCTTGATTATTCAATCGCTTTCGGGTATCCTTGCGAGATCTGTGTAGCTCATTCTAATTTGCGCGGAACTATTTTACTAGGATGCGAGTACAGTCTGCTGTGACTACTTCACTACTCCAACACACTTCACCCATTTGATGAATAAAAAGTGTATGCGCCGTGCCGACTATACTATCGGCTATCCTGTCACTTTTTCTATTTTCTTAATATTGGTAGAAAGTTTGCTTAGGCCATCCACATTCATTGAATGTAAGAATGCCGGGAATGTTATTTCAGGATGCATTATTCCCACCCTTATGAACAATTCAGCGTGGATTAGAAAAACTGATGTGATAGCCATCATATAATTTTCTCACTCTGAATGGCTCTGAGTAAACGCCACTTCTTCTCTGACTGGAAAGGACAGTAGTGCAACTATAGTCAGGTGTCTGTTTTTTGTCCCTAACCATCGCTTTACCAGCCCATGCTTGTGAAGCACGTAGTAAACTCTGAAACTTATTTTTATACTTTAAGTCCTGCCATGCTTTCGGTATCCCCACCTGGATATTTGAGTTTGCGAATTCATGGATCAGCCTTCATTAGTTATAATGTTCTTCCAATGTTCTAAGTGAATGTCGGCATTCACTGCACAACGACATATCAAAAAAGACGCATTTCTTCCTCTGAGCACTCAAAATTTAAGATTCTACGTTCTCTCATCTCTTCCCATGGTAAGCCATCTTATTTCATTTATCACAGTGACTAGTTGACTCAAAGCAATCCGTAAGCGTGTTGCATTGGTGGCTGGTGACAATTGCATGTCAGTCTGATCATGTCATTTTCAGTTCCTCGGCGGTCATAGAGCAAATACTGAAGGCCGCACTTTGGGTTAGTAGAGCCTACTTTTTTATTTAATTGACTTTTGCTTGAATATTTACAGTGTGGATCAGAGAGGGCGTGGAACGTGGTTTAAGATCGCCTAGCGCTCGTTTTATTCACTAACCGCAGCTAGGTTGTTGGACTCATGGCCAATTTCCAACACCGATAAGGCCTAAAGTGCCTCTATCACTTGGATACCATCTATCAGGTAAAATAAGCTCCATGAGTGGAGTGCGTATGTTTTCGTAATACGCTTTGTCTTATGGTACTTCGAGACAGTTTCTCTCAGCCCACTTGACTTCAGCTCACGTTATGGGAAAGGCTAACTTGTCACATCTGAGCAGCGCGGCCGAGAGATAGCTGGCGCAGGTTGTGTTGAATTACTTTCAGTTCTACTCGAAGCTCAAAATGTTGTATGGACACGCTGTTTTTAGTACATCGTGAAGCAACCGCGTCCATAGCAACCTACTAACTGTCCAGATAAGGCATCTTTAAACAATCGCGACTATCTCAACCTAATGAATGAATTATTTTCCTGATTGAGGCCTCTGTTCGAAGAGAAGTTCCATTAAGTTCATTGACCTTTAACCCATATCTTCATTACTCGGAATATTTACCGGAACTTGCACCAAAACTTACGGTTGCTACATGCCCAACAAGGCACTTACTTCCCACCTTCGTATACTCATCCCGTGCAACGAAATTGTGATAACGCGTATTTGGTGCAGGAAGAGCGAGTGAACCGCTCAGCACCATTATATCACGCACCAGGCTCCGATGGCTGGGCCACGTGTTGCGCATGCCAGCACACCGACTCCCGCGACGTGCATTGTTTGCGCATTGCGGGTGCGGTTGGAAGAAGAGGAGGGGAGGCCAAGTGATGACTTGGTCGAGAGGAATGAAAACCCTCACTTCGAAGTTGGCGTCGGTTGGTGCATCCCGACTGCCTGGCTGGGGTCCTAAGGACGGTGAACACGTTTGGTTGGACACACTTGCTGATATGGCTCGGAGCCGGCACCAATGGCGTTTGTGTTGTGATTTCCTTTTTTCATCCCCCTCCTGTTTAGTATCCCCCTCCAATCACGATCTCACCTGTTAGGCATAATATGATTCTCTTTTTACGACAGCCAGCTGTTGGCTCTCCGGAACGATGTCCATCCGTTACTGGGGACTCAGCGGGCTTGCCACGGTTTTCCTTTTCTTTTATTTTGTATTGCGGCACAATAGCTGAGGTGTTTTCCACCTCCAGCTAACGTGTAATGATGATGATGATAACGCGTCCCAGTAGTTTCGACTATTAGTCGGAACGAATGAACGTTCTTCACAGATAGTACCCTACGTACGCAGGGTATCCAAACGAATTCGGACCATTCCAGCCTAACGTGACCTAACCGCCAGACGCGCACGCCAGTTGAGACTGTGAGGCAAAACAGAGTAACCTAGCACGACTGCTCTGAGGCCCAGAAAGAATGGCTGATCGCAGAGGCGTAACTTATGGGGACGCGGGTGGGGCGGTCCTCCTTGGACTGTATGTAGCAGGGTGACGACGTGTGAGAGGAGACAGCATTTTTAGTACGGTCGATTGTTCGGTACCAAATGTAATAGGAAATATATCCGAATAATCTAAGGATTCAAGATGTTAATGTTACTAGGTATGACAAAACGCGCTTACGCCATGTGTCACACCTGTGCGAACTTCCTTCCCAGCAATCCCCTTAATTGTCCCATTGCGGGCTATTTCACCACATTTACCCCAGTGTCCCAATTGGTCATGTACTTAACCGAAAACTTATGTGCACTTTATCCTGAGTCGATTATGTGGCCTTCACGCGCCTATTATCACCTCAGTCAGGGCAAAAATTTTACCAGCATCCCAGGGGGCCAAATAGTTAATACGCCACCGGTTGATCGTTAGCAAGCATTATTTTGTTAATACAGCTCGATTTAATAGTAGAGTATTGCGTAAACTGTGAAGGAAGATGGATATTGACAAAGCACATGTGATGCCACTCAGTGGTAACGCTCAGAGGTAAACACAGTTAATTCAAAAATGGGTTTGTGTGGAAACTGCGGCAGTGGGATGAGGGGAGCTCAGATGAATGAATGCGGCTTGCCGCGATAGATACACAATACCTTTTACGACTCAAATCAATCCATAACGGAATCAAGCTCCTCCTTAAGAATATTCAACTCAATCCACAAGCACATCAAGTTGAATCTAAAGTGGTAAGTAATGTCCTGTACCTGTTTGCCAGATAAACTTCAAGAAAAACAAGATAGCACAATTCGTGTCATTGTTCACACACGCCTCAAGTCTCAAAGAAGTAATGGTGTTCGCACTCCTTGTGAGATATTTTTGCCGTCATTGGGTATTGAGGTCAAATTATTAGATCTGCAGTCACTTAGTGATGACAGGTCGGACAACATTTGTCAATTTCTAAAGAATGTGTTTGAACAAATACCATGAGCTGAAAATTGTGGGACACGAACACAGTTCAGTGGCGTTCAGAGAAGAGGATAAAATAATTTATTTGCGAAATTGAAATCTTCTAGCA